ATAGCGGAGACTGCAGCACTGCATTGTGCACGAACCACAAAATAAGAACTGTGAATATGCTACACTTTTAATGTTGTCCTAAAAGATGGTTTCCTGTATGATGTGTAAAACTGAGCTCAGCAGGCATCATGACCGTCAGGCGCAAGTATGAGAGAATATCCGTGGCAGAAACTCGGCACAGCGAGACACTAATCTTATCAAAACCACCATCAGAAGGAAAACACAGCGTCACTGTCTGCTTTTCAGCTGATTGTGTTCTCGTTTGGCAGACAGAATAAGCAGCGCTGGCTGATCCTCTGGTTCAAAGTGTTGGTCTGAGCCGTGTAGTGTAGCCGAGCTTGATGCACACGCAGACCAGCTCGGGCGTTTGTGGTGCTTTTCTCCAGTTTTTCGCCGCCCGTCCACAGCAAAACACGACTGTAGGTCCCTGAAACTTTTCTAAACTCTTCTTTTCAGGATTGAAACATGTATATTTGAAAATGTGCTTGGTTATTGCCATTTTCCGTGTGATGAGCTGCTTTAGGTCTCCATATCCAACAAGTCTGATGACTGGACTGTTAGTGTGATCTGTAATCAGATATAGTTGCCTCAGGGGTGTCAAACCGAACCACTAAAAGGGCCATATCAAAAGATCTCAACAGATCTTTGGGCCAGCTGTGTTTATTTTATTGTTACTCAACATGCGCTGTGACCTGAACTGGCCATTCAAAATTTTATTCAAAATATGCAAAAACTGCTGCAGCAAAACAGGCATGGAATACTTGAACTGTTCAAAGATAATTTTAAAATCAAATTGTTTTATATAAAATAAGCTACATTATCGGCATATAACTGTTAAACTTCTTTAAAAGTCCTCAGGAGGCAGGTTTTCAAAAGCTGGACGCCAGGCGTCCTCTCTTTTTGTGTAACCCCTGTTTGTTTTTGGGGGAAGCAAGTTGGAGCACACAATATGTTGCAGTGCATTTTGGGAGCTGTAGTGCAGCTGATGGTGAAAAGGACTAACGTTAATAGAAAATTAAAATAATTTTGTGGGCCGAATTGGGTTGTACCACGGGCCTTGTGTTCGTCTTATAGGTTGTTACTCAATGAAGCAGCCCCTTTCAGACTGCTACGTTTGTTTGCGTTGTTCCTTTATTGTTTCTGAGCCTTTCAGAAAGTTTTCAGGAGCGATGCAGGAAATCTGCTGCTGTCCCTTTGATGAAAGCCTTTTTAGAAAATACGATTAAGACGACAGTTATAGGGTAGGTGTTTATTCTTTTTAAATAAAGGAAGAACAGTTCTGTGGGGCAGTCGTGGGCCGGGAACCAGCCTTGTGACCAGAAGGCTGCCGGTTCGATCCCCTTGGCCGACAGTACGTGACTGAGGTGCCCTTGAGCAAGGCACCTAACCCCCAACTGCTCCTTGGGCGCCATGGATAGGGCTGCCCACCGCTCCGGGCACTGCCCACTAGTGTGTGTGTGTTCAGTAGTGTGCATGTATTTGGGTGTTTCACTGCATGGATGGGTTAAATACGGAGGTCTAATTCCTCTGTGTGCAAAACACAGTTGGCTAATGGTTCTGAGTTCAGTTCAGTTATTAATTTGTCAAATTATTGCCTGACTGATATGAGTTTTCGTTTCCCAACTGAGCGGATAATCAGTCATAATGGACTAATTTATTATGAAAATAGCCGTTCGCCACAGGCCAGATGTCTACCTTTTAAATTTGTTCAAATGCTAATGACCTACTGACCTGACTGCTTCCTTGCTTCTCTAATGAATATCAGTATTGAGCTGCATTAAGACGACAGCGCAGTAGGATTAGTGCACATTGCACATTTCAAAAAGCACAATTCGTTTAATGTTAAATGCTTTAAGGTGTGCCGTACATTTGGGGGAACTTGCCAGACGTTTTGAGCTGTTTACCTGGAGCTTGGTATTATGGCCTCGTTTGATATCGGCTGGTTCAGAATATTGGCTAACTTTGAGGTCTTGGTTGAAACGAATGTAAAGTACATCCACATCTTTAACACGAGGATACCATGTCATAACAGACTGTCTGTGAAGAGAACAGGTGCTGATTAGTAGAAGCCAACAAAACCGCTAAGAAAGCTAGGAAGCTCCACCCCCGTGATGCAATATTTACATTGGGTTTGTGCTGTTTATTTAAGACATGTGACAATAGGGAACCGACAGACATATTAGACAATGCACTGTCTCCCATAATCAGTTTAAATTGGCGCTAGTTCAATTTTTCAGTCAATATTTCCAGTTATTATAAAGTTCAGCTCTATTAAATTAGTATTGGGCGCAAAGCATGCATGTAATCCAGCTGTTTCTTAATTTTGTTCCATTACATGCTTCAGCTCCATGCAAACGACTCCTGATATCTTGGACTGGTGCCACTTATGAAGTGGTGAGCGCACCCGTTGATGAGTGGAGGCTAGTGGGATGCTCACACTCATCAGCTGTTACACAAGCATTCAGTTGCCCGTGTTTATCCTCTTTTGGTTTAGCGAGTGCAGCAGAAGCTCGGCTAGCATTCCTCCACGCCCCTTTTTCTACACCTGACCTTGAAGGCATTGCAAGCATTTAGTTACAGTGGTAGTTGTTCATAAACAACATTTATTGGCAGGCTTGGAGAATTTTTTTTGCGTTGTTTGTGCAACTCTGGTGTGTTGAACCAGAGACTGAGTGTGGGGCAGTAAGAGATTTCATAATTTATATCCTACTAACTATTATTTGATTAAGCAACTATTTATTCTGCTTTCTTTGCTTTCTGTGCATCAGGCACAGTTCCATCTGTGCAGCAAGTGATTTTATTTATGGTGCAGCAAAACAATAGAAGCTGTATTGATGCTTCCTGTGGTGTTCTAAACCTGCCATATTGACCTTTTGTATCATTTGAATGTTATAGAGCACTTTTTAAATGAAACAGTAGAAGCCATATCGCCCCCTACACTTCCTGTAGTGTATTACAGTCTGTCAGAGTGACTGTGTGGATCATATGAACATTATAGAGGCTTTTTAAATGAAACAGTAGAAGCCATATCACCCCCTACACTTCCTGTAGTGTATTACAGTCTGTCAGAGTGACTGTGTGGATCATATGAACATTATAGATCTTTTTAAATGGAAACAGTAGAAGCCATATCGCCCCCTACACTTCCTGTAGTGTATTACAGTCTGTCAGAGTGACTGTGTGGATCATATGAACATTATAGATCTTTTTAAATGGAAACAGTAGAAGCCATATCGCCCCCTACACTTCCTGTAGTGTATTACAGTCTGTCAGAGTGACTGTGTGGATCATATGAACATTATAGAGGCTTTTTAAATGAAACAATGGTTACAAACAATGGAAACTGCTGTCTCCGGTTTGGATCTGATTTAAGGCTTAAGCAGTGCTGTCAGCTGCGGTCCTGCCTGCCTGAGCCTGTGGTTGGTGTGTGTGTGTGTGTGTGTGTGTGTGTGTGTGTGTGTGTGTGTGTGTGTGTGATGGGGGAGGGGAGTGCCGGTGACCCCACCCCACTCCATTCATCCTGCCCTCTGCGTCACGTCCCTCAGGCACACCGTGCATGCCGAGTTCCCGAGAAAGCTGCTGCTGTTATTTGAGGTCTTTGGTTTGATAGTAACTCTGTTAGAGTGGTGTCGTGTTGCGTTTGCAGGGGGTTCAGATCGAATGCATTTCTTTGGGCTGCGCCGCCTTCTCAGATGTTAAAAGGGGCCAAATGGTGGACAGGAGGTGGTCTCTTTTGTAAAGGAGACCATTGACTTGTTTTAAAGTAGATGATGCAACATATTAGCACTATATTGTTCCTGTAACAGGGAAGCATTTGCACTAAAAACACCTCTCAGAGGAGGAGAAAAACAATTATATTTGGTAGTTTGGCCTAATAATCCAAGAGACGAAGTATTCGGTCTTTAATTTTAGGTTCTGCACCTGTGAAATGGCTATAAGACAGCAAATAGGCTGTGCGGCTTTAGGGACTATCACAGATTTTGTGTATATGCTCAAAATATTTGCATTTGACAGATTTCAAACCAGTATTTGATTTTCTATATGAACCCTGGAATCTTCACCTTATTCATTTTACTGCATTTGTTCATAGACAACGATCAGGCATAACATTATGACCACCCTTGTTTCTACGCTCATTGTCCATTTTATCAGCTCCACTTACTATATAGGTGCACTTTGTAGTTCTACAGTTACAGACTGTAGTCCATCTGTTTCTCTGATACTTTGTTAGCCCCCTTTTACCCTGTTCTTCAGTGGTCAGCACCCCCATGGACCCTCACAGAGCAGGTACTATTTGGGTGGTGGATCATTCTCAGCACTGCAGTAACACTGACGTGGTGGTGGTGTGTTAGTGTGTGTTGCGCTGGTCTGAGTGGATCAGACACAGCAGTGCTTATTTGTTGCAATAATAAAAACAATTAGTGTGTGTTTTTGTGTGTTTTATATTTATTTTTTTACATTTTTTTTGACCCCACAGTTTTTAAAATATTCACATCTACCAAGCGGCCGAAATGGCACTTTTGTGGCACATATAGTGACTCAGTGTGCTCTACTGAATGGTTGAGCAGAACATAGAAGGGTTAAAGGAGAAGGAAAAAAACATACTTCACTTTTAATGTAAGTCAATGGAACCAGATTTTTGGGAACAAGTAATTATGGGTCACTTTTTTCGGCCCGTTCGTCACGAAATTTACACAGAACGTAAAGGCCAACGTGCATTTTCATGGGTGCCGGTCCAGAGTACCCAGATCAGTCCGTTATTGAACTATGAATGAGTTTATAAATGTCGTTCCGCCTCAGAGGCTCTATGAAAGTTACAGGAACACTAGGTTGATGTTCTCTCCTATATACGGCAGCGTGCTGCCGAAAGCCGTTCGTTTCTGTTTTCTCTGTTCACTTCCAGCTGGTTTCTTTTTTATTTATTTGTTTATTCTGTCCACGTTTCCTTTCTGACTAAGCCGACTTCCTGTGTGCCTGACCCACTTCTTCCTGTTCTTCAGGCACAGACATCTCAGTGGGGGAAGAAGTCGCCATTAAGCTAGAATGTGTGAAAACAAAGCATCCTCAGCTGCACATCGAGAGCAAGATCTACAAGATGATGCAAGGAGGAGGTACGTTCCAGGTTTCTCAGCATGCACTGCAGCTTTCAGACTGTCTAGTGGATTTCCTGTGACTTTACAAGGGAACGTTAGTGTAAAATCCACATATACATTACTGTACACTCTGCATGCGTCTACTACTAATGCATTAGGAAAGAACTCTGACTGTTTTTATGCATTAAAATAGTTTTCGCAAGCAGTTCTGTTGAAATGTGATGTATAATCCAAATGGAAATGTTTTATTTATTATAAAAACATGACAAATGACGTGACAAGCTGAAGTTCCTCTGTTAGTAGGTCATTATTGTCATACTGTGATGTTATATGATATATGGAAGTCAGTCTTATGGAAAATAACAGTTGTTCCTCTTTAGTAATGTCAGATTAGCTCAGATGGGGAAGGCTGAGTGATATTTGAGTTAAATTACTTGTTTAGCTCGCTGTTCCTTGATCAGTGGACGAGAGGGAGCAGCCATTTGATGCTACAACAAAAATGACAACCTCTTGGTAGAGATGTGTTGCCTATTTTCAATAATAAATAGAATATTGATTATTTTAACAGTACTTAATTCAAATGACAAACGATTTTACTCTTTTTGATGATTCTAATAAGACAGTCAAAAAGTACACTCTTAGAACCCTAAAAGAACCATTTTTATTAGAGAAAATGGTTCTATATAGAACCATGAACACTCAAATAATCCTTTGCATGGTGAAATGGTTCTTCAGATTGATGGGGAATGTATGGTTCTATATAGAACCTTTCTGAAAGGGTTCTATATAGCACCAAAAAGGGTTCTTCTGTTGTTACAGACTTGACATTGTAACAGTAGAAGAACCCATTTTGGGTGTTTAAACCTAAAACAAATGTGCGGCACCGTTAGTTTGATGCTTACACAACACAGAAAATCCCACTGAAGGTTCTTTTAGGAAAGGGAGTGGTTCTGTGTAGAACCATGAGTTCTATATCGAACCATTTCATGCTTAAATGGTTCTTTGCACTGTGAAGTGTTTCTTTAGACTGATGGTAGAATGTGCTGTAGATGGTTCTGTATAGAACCTTTTCTGTTTTAGGCTTGACATTGTACCAATAGAAGAACCCTTTTTGGGTGTTTACACTTAGTGTGCAAAGACAAATGTTATTGATGCTAACACAACACAAAAAAGTCACGCTGAAGCATTGAAAGGTTCTGTTTAGAGCCATCAGTTCTGTATAGAACCATTTCATGCTTAAATCGTTGTTTGTGTGGTGAAATGGTTCTGTGTAGCACCAAAAAGGGGTGGTTCTATTGTAACAAGCCTCACATCGTTGCAATAGAAGAGCCCTTTTTGGTGCTTTTACAGATCCATTTTCAAGAAGGTTCTATACGGAACCATTTACAACACATTCTCTATCATTCTGAGGAACCATTTCAAAGTGCAAGGAACCATTTAAACACGCAAAGGGTTCTTTGTGTGTTCATGGTTCTAAATAGAACCATTGTCTTTATAAAGGAACCCCAAACCGACTCACTTCATGACATGAGTATAAAAACATTTCTGTCCCAAAATGGCCCGGCCCGGCCCGGCCCGGCCCGGCCCGGCCCATCGCCCAAAGTGCCAAATAAAACCTGACAGGACAGCGCCGGTTACAACATAGCGACGGAATTAGCCACAATTAGATCACAAAGAAATGAAATATCAAACAATATTGAGTAATATGCTATAATAGTCAGCTGCCCAGAAGTTTAAATTCTGCTTTAATGATTTTGTCAAATAATGTTTTTAACCTTTTCAACCCCTCTGGACCACCGGTGGTTCCAAAACGCACTTCGTCATATTCGTCATAACTTTCATATTTCATAAGCTACATTCTAAAGGTGGGGGTCGTATGAGAGCTGTAACTGTCTTCTCTCCAGTCAAATAGATGGTGATGTAATTTTAAACCCTTATAATAAAAGAAGCTGAACTCAATTTTGTTTGTCTACTGAAAGTCGACCCATTTTTCCACAAATCTGGGCTATAAACTATAAACAGATGGCGTCTCTTCAGTGATCTGCTCTGTAAACATTATTTTTATAAATTAATACAAAGAGCGTCTAAGATTTTTGGCTTTCAGCAGTAAATTATAAGCATAAAGCAATATGTGTAGATCATAAAACACATGTTCTGTTAATTTGAGGGGAGCTTTTTACAAAAAGTAAATAGTTATTTCATGCAGTTACTGAATAATTTGCCTTATGATTTGGTCATGTAAATTCAGATGGGCAAACCAAAATAAACCCTGGTCAGTAACCTCCCATGTGCAGTGCTAAAATAGCGAGGTGTTAGCTTCACCTGTTTGACACAAGCTATATTTATACAGTTTGTTAAAATAGCCACATCACTGAAGGTGCAAGAGGAGGAAAAACGCAGCAGAGTGTAAAAATGTACAGGATGTTGCTTAGCAAGGCCGCAGAGACTCAGCTAAATTCAGAAAGCAGTTATTTTACATTTCCCACCGATGTGCCTGGGGTTGATATTCGTGGATTAGTCTGGGATCAGGCCATTTTAAGGCCATTTGAATTATTGATTTCTCTGGTGGAGCGAAGCTTTGTTTAATTCGGGATAATTAGCTTTAGTGGGGGCGGCCTTTTTGAAGTCAGCTGTAGGCTGGGATATCCCCCACTTCAACATCACTCGCTGATGCCGCATTTGCCTCTGTGCTAAGGCAGTGCGCAGCAAGTGCTCTCGTTGATGTATTTTCATCAGTGTCGGAGCAGAAATGCTCCTATATTTAATATTTCTGCCCATTAAAAGACAAAAATGTGGGACAAAAATGTGCAAAAAAGCCCCCAGAATGTTTCACATGTAATAAATCAATATGAATGAACCTGTAAATGCAGTGTCAGTGTGAATGAACGTCACTGTCGCTGGTAATAAAGCAGCCACTCCTTATATGAGAATGTGAGCCTCAGTTTCAGTCCATCCCTTTCTGTATTCTAATAAAATAGACTGGACGGTGAATCTATGCACTGCTTAATGTGTACATTTTCTGCTGTTGCTGTTATTCACTTAACACATTCATGCCTGAACAGCTAAATGGACTAACGTGGTTGAATTTGGTATGGTTATTGCTTGGATCACCATCTAACAGTGCTTTTAATTTTTGACTTTTTTAGAATCAGATATGGATGAATGCATTTAACATGAATTGATAAACCTCAGATTTGAGCCACATATCGTGATAAATTGAATCACAGTATGTAACAATATGCTTTTCTGAGTAGATCATGAATATTGTCAGAATTTATTATTGATTCATTATTGAGAATTTACATCAAGATGTCACAATATGCTTTACAGAGCATATCATCAGTACTTAAAACACAAAAACTGCAAGTTTGATTATAAAGAACATAATTAATCCTGTTTTATTGGATTGAGTGCAGCACAGTATGTGATGTTGATCACTGTGTTGGTAATTTTTGGATTTTTTTTGACTATTTTCCTTCCTCAGTGTGGCACCACTTTATCTTTTCCATTTTATCAGATGACCTAAAAATAAATTGACACATCTATTTTGATGGATTTGGCACATTTCTTAACCTCTTATTCTCCAGGGTATATTTGGGTTTGTCCATCTGAATTTACATGACCAAATCGTAAGACAAATTATTCAGTAACTGCATGAAATAAATGTACATTTTTATTTTATTTATTTGTTTATTTTTGTGAAAGCTCCCCTCAAATTAACAGGAAATGTGTTTTATGATCACACATTGCTTTATGCTTACAATTTACTGCTGAAAGCCAAAAATCTTAGACGCTCTTTGTATTATTTTATAAAAATAATGTTTACAGAGCAGATCACTGAAGAGACGCCATCTGAGATCCAGTTTATAGCTCAGATTTGTGGAAAAATGGGTCGACTTTCAGTAGAAAAAAATAATTGAGAGTTCAGCTTCTTTTATTATAAGGGTTTAAAATTACATCACCATCTATTTGACTGGAGAGAAGACAGTTACAGCCTCATACGACCCCCACCTTTAGAATGTAGCTTATGAAATATGAAAGTTATGACGAATATGACGAACATGACGAAGTGCGTTTTGGAACCACCGGTGGTCCCAAGGAGTTGAAAAGATTTGTGCTCTGAGAACATATGGACCAAAGGAAATGTTACGTTTCTGATATGGATGTTACTGTTAAAGTTTAGGTTTGTCCACTTCAGCGAGAGCCAAAATCGCCCCTTACCCTGACCGTTATTATATCTATATCAGCGAGCTTTATTGTAAATATTTCTTTATTGAAGAAGCGTTTGTTCTCCTGCTTGGGCGGCTGACTGACCGCTCTGTTCACGCTGTGAGTCAACACACCACACTCGGCGAAGCGCGTCGTCACGGGGTTTAAACACACAAACACACATGCTCGCTGTCGGACTCGCCCTGCATAATGTTCAGAGACGGTCGAACCAGAGAGGAGATGATTTTTAAGAGAAAATCACTGAACATGATCGTTTCCAAGAGCCGACTGACGTTCCCTCGATTTCTGCAGAACCGTTTTAACCTGACTGATATGAAATCGGTCACTGATAGTGATTTTAAAGAAGCTGTATGTTGCTGTAGCTCATAAAATGGGCTGATTTAACTTTATAGCCAAAATTCAACACTCAGTAGTTGAACTCAAACAGCGCTTTATGAGCTGATATGGACTTTGTCATACGCATCATAGCAGAAGTCCTGACCGGTGTAGTTCATTAATACAAGTGATATGTATGATCATGATAGCTTGTTAAATGCTGATTTTTCTTAAATGTGCTCTATTGGCCATTTTGACATTGACGTCTGTCATGACAGTTAAGAGTAACAGTAATATGACACTAATATTACTGAATAAAATCTATCATGGCTGCGTATGATCTCTATGACATGTTTATGAAATGGTAGTGTCAGTTATACAGCAGAGCGCAAGGCTTTCCGGATATTCTTGCACCAGGCAGTTTTTTCCGATTTTTTTGAGGTTTTATTCTGTTCTTCTTTTGTTTCTCGTTT